TATTTGCATTACTCTAAGGGGAGGTTTAGGGTTGGGGTAGGTGTAGACGTTAATAAACCATACTTTTACAGGTAGCATTTTTCGTTGTCGAATTGTACTACCCACTGTTTTAATGGGAGGTAGCAAAATCTGACAGGGTAGCACAAATCGACAGAACACCGGGTCAGCTGTCCCGCAGCAGTGCCTGTTTTTAACGTAAAGCGGGATGGCTCCACAAACACACCCCAGACATGCGGCACAGTGAATCTTCTGAGAAAGGTCACAACACAGGGCTGGACTAGAATAACTAAAAGAGAGTAGCTCCTGTGAGTGATATCTACAGTAAACAGGACGAGGATTGCTCAAGTCCTTAGTAGGCCTATGCAATTGACATTCAATAATATTGCACGTCCCACCAGAGCTGGAGAGAAGAGCCACAACCATAAAACCAAACCAAGCACAAGCTGTTCATGTTATATGTGATCACGGGAGACTGAAGTCTACCTTATGACTTCATAAGTACAGCCATTCATAAATGCACTTTGACCAAAACATGCACCCGTGAAAGGAAATGTCCTGCTACTTCCTGATCATTACTGTCAAGCAAAACTGCAATGTAATGCAGTAGTTACTAAGAATCTTACGAATAAATGATATTTAAACAAAAACTATGATAAACTTCTAGTAACTTCTACTTCTCAAATTTGCTGAATAGTGTGGCCTCTCGAGACATTTCAAAAAGGTTATCGTTTTAAATATTTTTAATTAAATAACTGAAATACTTTAACAAATTTATTGACCTGGTACTCCACTTCCATGCTGCCGTTCTGAGTGGTTGTTTGGAAGAAGCACTCGGTTGCTCCGGCAGGTAGAAGGAAAGTGAACTCGGTGTCCTTATTCTGTCCGAACGCGAATCCCAAATCCACGCTGAGCGTCAGAAAGAGCAGCAAACATACGAGACGCGTCTCTTTAAACCGCTCCATTACTTTGCTCTTCATAAACACACTAGAGCAGCTGTTGCACTACGAGCGGCGCGACCTCACTAGGAGCCTATCATTGCCTTCTACTACACTGCAACAGCATGGTTTGGACTTTCATGGACTTGCAGTGACAAACAGAACAGACGCGCTTGAAGTTTGTTAAGCTTCGTTGAAAATGGACGCGTTGTAGTTTACCCGCGTCGCGTAAAACGCGCAAACAGCCTCGCTGATTTGTCCACTGGGTTCCGACGTCAAGATTATTCAACGCGCGCCGGAGATAATGTTTTTATTCCGTGTTTCTGTCATAGCTCATGGCTTTTTTTTGGTACATTTTGGCTGTAAATTGCAAAGGGGCTACGTTGTGATCTCAAGTCGTCATGCTACACTAATGTTAGTGACGAAAACCTTTCTGCAACGTTCTGGGAATACGATAATTAGGGAAAAAATAGAATAAATGCAGTGTAACCATGTTAGAACCAATTTAAAACCAACATGGATATGTGGTTGTCACACAGAACATCTCTGCAATGTTCTCAGAATATTAGTTTATATTTATAAAACTACAAACCTAAAAACTACCTTTCAAGAAGAGGCTAAAATTAAATATTGTTGCATTTTTTTCTTTAGTTCCTTCTATCATCAACACTCACTCCAAGAACTGATTTTGATGTTTACACAAATCATGATATTTAGGCTATGCAATTGTCAAGTTTGTCAAAGAATTACAATGCTGGACTTAATGTAACACAAATGAAGATATTTTTAATATTCTCTCATATTTTTTGTCCATCCTTTGAAAGGCCATGCAGACAAAATTGTTTTTTTCTGAAGATACACTATCACTTTATGATGATCAGATTAAATTTCATGTCAAGTAAGCACGCTGATATTCAAATTGTAATTATTTAAGGGTTAACTTTTATTTAAATATACATAATCTATGTGTCTCTAAACAGAAGTCCATGGTAAGACCCTTTTTGACTGCTAGATGAGTGTGTGTAAATATTATGTGGTCTATCAATGCCTTGACACATCGAACTGATGGTCGGCCATCGTTTAACATCTGCCAGCTCAGATTTTGTGGTGTATTCTGCACCATCAGCAGTTGACATCATCAGTGGCTTTTTGGCCATTTCAGCATGTTTAAATCGGAGTCGGGCAGTCGGTCACGTCATTTAAGCGTGACATTCAACAACATCAACAGCTGGAGGATGGAAGACAGAAATGCCTGGACTTCATAGAGTTCGTTTGTGGAGTAAGTATCCTTGTGTTTACACAGCTTTTTAAAAATGGCGGATACCAGTGTTTTGTATGGCATGCATTCAGCCAATCAACGTTTCAACATTCAACCAATCAACTTCCTGCAGTGCAAACACACCAAAAAGTGGGTACGTCCGCCAATATTTATAGGTAATATGAATAAAAAGCCCCTAAAGCAACTAAAACAAGCAAACAATGAAGTCAAATGTGCACACATATAATGATTTTCTAATGTTACACATTCATCTCTCACCCTACATGCAAACATTTTAAAAACGACATGGACATTTGGAATGAAGAAACTAAAAACCATTTAAAATGGGAAGGAAGTGATGATGTTTACAGATTGTGTAGCTGCAGCGGTGCGTTCCAAATGGGATATATCGCCCTCCGAAGGGCACTTCGGAGTGAAAACAATCATGGCCGCCATATTGAAGGCTCGTTCCAAACCAAGGTGCTCAAAACTGGGCACTTCAAATTTCCCTTCGGAATGAAGGATTTCGAAGGGTACAACTGAGGGACACTTCGGGCTCCCATGATCCTTTGCGCAGATTCTTTGCATGATGACGGTGCCTCCGTGTGGGCACGTGATGATGACCGCAGATTCTTTGCATGATGACGGCGCCTCCGTGTGGGCAGAAGATGTTGATGCAGAAGGGCACTTCAAGAAACAGTTGTTTGGTCCCCTACACCCTTCAACCCTTCGAAGCTCTCACTCCGGAGGGTAAACCCTTTGAAGGGATTAGGGCATAGGGATGAGCCCTTCCGAATGGAACGCAAGTCTAGTTTAGCTTTCCCTTTTTCAATGACAAAAACAGACTACTGCCACCTTCTGGTGTGGAGAGTTAGTTCCTCTCACACAGGCGCAGAACGCACATGCTATTGGACATTTGGAAGTAGTCTTTGAGGTGTGTTCAAGTGCAACTTTTTGGCCTAGTCACTGTCAGCTTTTGTCACCACTAGGTCTTTGATGTCGGTTTCATGTGTCACAAGCTAATAGTGGTTACTGGTCTAAATATAAGGAGCTTGTTCCCCTCTTGCTCTCATGTGCACACTGCTATAACAAAAAAAGAAAAAGAGTACATCAGCCTGCATAGACCATCACTACTCTACTGTGTTTTATTGGTCCAAAATGAACTTCCTGTCTTTTTCCTACAGCAAAGTTACTTAAAACTTTATTACAGCCAAAATTACTTCAACAAGTGTGTGTTGTGTCGAGTAGGGGAAGCTGTGGCTGAGAGCTGATGCAGAGGAGATAGGAAGGTGTGAAGAGGTGGACCTGTTGCATGGCCATGAATATACGTTTGTCTGCTTGTGTAGGCATATGTGTGTGCCACGTCTTTTCTGATTCCCATTTATGTAGATAAACGGAATATGTCACGCTCTGAAAGACAAAAGATCTGACTTTTATTATTGATGTTTTTTTTCTTCTCATTTTGAAAACTAGAAAATTTGATTTAAATGCTGCACTTATTCCATCCCACATTTCTCAGACTTGCTGATTTTACTTTACCTGTCTCTTGAAATAGTATTACAGGAGATTTTGAGAGTGGTCTGACTTATTTTTTTTCTCTCGGCCCCACTGGAGCGTGCTTTTCTCGCACCGTCCGCCCACCTGTGGGCTTTATGAGTGATGGTTATCTCTCACTCTCACAGTGGGTCTCACTCTCACTGCGTTGCAGTGGGTCTTTTCACACTTCTCTGGATGTGCAGTTGTCATCTCTGAAGTGGCCAGAGACAGTGTGTGTGCACATGGCTCCGGGTAAAGTTTCGTATCCTTCAGTATTCGTGGTGGACAGCAAAATGAGGCCCCCTCCGTTGCCCCCCAAGCCAGGCCGTAGACAGCGGAAGGAGGTGATCCAGACTCTACTGGTGATCCTGGTTTGTGTGGCTCTGTGTGGCATGGCCGTGGAGGCCTGTTTCATTTACCATCTGTTCACATCCAAAGAAAACCCTTATTTTTTTTCTCTCGGCCCCACTGGAGCGTGCTTTTCTCGCACCGTCCGCCCACCTGTGGGCTTTATGAGTGATGGTTATCTCTCACTCTCACAGTGGGTCTCACTCTCACTGCGTTGCAGTGGGTCTTTTCACACTTCTCTGGATGTGCAGTTGTCATCTCTGAAGTGGCCAGAGACAGTGTGTGTGCACATGGCTCCGGGTAAAGTTTCGTATCCTTCAGTATTCGTGGTGGACAGCAAAATGAGGCCACCTCCGTTGCCCCCCAAGCCAGGCCGTAGACAGCGGAAGGAGGTGATCCAGACTCTACTGGTGATCCTGGTTTGTGTGGCTCTGTGTGGCATGGCCGTGGAGGCCTGTTTCATCTACCATCTGTTCACATCCAAAGAAAACCCTGTAAGTACTATTTTGTCCAACTTTCTGAAGCATCACTGTCTCGTGTACTTTCATTCAGCGTCATTCTTTCACTCACACTATCACTTCATCTAATATCAGTTCATTTTTTGTTCGTCAGCTCTTCTTTTTAGATAATTGCAGATTTTTAATGATTTTCTTTATGTTTTACTCTCTTCTGTTTCTCTTTTATACAAAGAATATAGATTATGTTTTAGGGTGACCTCATCGTGGTTTTATCACTTTCAGTTACATTCAGTTATCTGAAACAATAAGATACGAATGACATAGCACTATGATTGAGCAAGAATTGTGTAAATATATATTTCTGCTGCTCTTTTGAACTTTCTATTCATCAAAGAATGCTGAAAAAAATGTATCAGTTTCCACAAAAATAATAAGCAGCAACTGTTTGCAACATTGATATTAATAAGAAATGTTTCTTGAGCGGTAAATCAGCATTTTATAATGATTTCTGAAGGATCATGAGACACTTAAGACTGGAGTAATGATGCTGAAAATTAAGCTTTGACATCACAGGAATAAATTACAAAAATTAAAAAAAAAATTTAAATAGAAAACTTTATTTTTAATTTTAACAATATTACTGTTTTTACTGTACATTTATTTAAATAATTGCCACTTAGAAAGCATAAGATAAGACTCACCTTAAAAAATAAGACTCAATACTGACTCTTATGTATATACAGTGGGTACGGAAAGTATTCAGACCCCCTTAAATTTTTCACTCTTTGTTATATTGCAGCCATTTGCTAAAATCATTTATTACAAAAAAAAAAAAAAAATTAAAATAAAAAAAATGTATTTTTAATTTGAACAATATTACTGTTTTTACTGTACATTTATTTAAATAAATGCCACTTAGAAAGCATAAGATAAGACTCACCTTAAAAAATAAGACTCAATACTGACTCTTATGTATATACAGTGGGTACGGAAAGTATTCAGACCCCCTTAAATTTTTCACTCTTTGACACATTAAAGTAACTTTCCTCCAATACTAAAAAATTATACAATTCATAAATGATGTTCATATTTCAAACCAACTTTTCAGTTATATTGTAATGCTGATAATATGATGTTGAAATATAATGCGAAATAGAAGAATTTCACTCATTTATCCGTGAATATAGACTGTATGTAGATTGAGATGTTTCCGTCAGGCTCCTCCCTTTACATGAAATTTGCAGAAATGTAGCTGGACAAACCGTCTGGTGCTCAAACCACATGGCGTGCTGTGGTTACCTGACCTAGAGCTCGACCTAACTAATACAGTTATGAGAAAATGGGTCTTAACCAACCTGCAACAGTGTTATCTGATATGATATAGCAGTGTGACACAAATTAAGCTCTGGAGGAACATGACTAAATACCAAGTCTTGTTATTTAATAATAAACAAATACAAATATTCATGCTAACATGTTTGTGTGTGTGTGTGTGTGTGTTTCTTTTTTTACATCTTTGCTTTACGTATTAGGAGTGTAGTTTGATAATGTTACATTACTATTTTTTACTGTACACATGTAACCGAGCGAATATAATGGTTGCATGTCCTCGCTCTTAAGAAATCTTGGGAAGTCAGTTCAGATAGGTTGTTTCAAGAAAATGATTCATTGATTCATCCCAGTCTCATAAGTGTTCACAAAATTCCCTGTACTGAAGTAGAGACAGATTGTTTCTTCTGTGAGGCACACCTAAAATAAACAGATTATCAGAAAAGAAAAAAGGGCGGGGACTTGGTTCTACGAGTCGGTTGTTCATTGGATGTGAAGATGTAGACGTGGCACTCAAAAGGCAAATGAATGTGGCAGATGAATGTAAGCTTGCAGCTTTAATTAATTAAAAAGTAGAGGTGATTCTTATGAAATTATGTTATCTTACATTAACTAAAGTGCAGGAATTTGCTGATACTAAGACACAATGGATGCAGCAGCAGCATCTCTGCAGACTCTTTCACCCAAGGCGTTTGAGAAATCAATATGAAAGATTCATCAATGTATGATTCTTTTTTTTAATCTTCTGCAGACACCTCCAGATGAACCACAGACTGCCATGAGAAAACAAGGTAAAGATCACTTTACTAGTCTGTACTGCCACTAGTTTACTTTGATGTGTTGCACTTTTTATTCTAGGAAAACATGGCATATAAACAATATTAGATTGCACTTAAATCTATGATTATTTAATTTTGGAATATCACAGAGAAAGAACATGCTGTAACCCCCAAACAAAAACCGCTTGGAGAAATGAAGCCATCAAAACCAATGGCACAACTGACAAGTAAGCTCACAGCTGACTTTATTTGTTTATTTATTTTTTTAGATGTTAGTTTTAGTTTATTTGGCATCAATGACAACAAATGACTAGCAATCCAATGTCTATTCACTATTAATATTTTCCATGTCAGAAGTATGGGAATGATTCAGTCACCAAAAATTCCCATGTATGCTGAACACCTGTAATTCACTATACACTGTATTTTAATGACTAACTTTATACATTGGATCATGAAAGAACAAATTCAGTCAAGTGTGTCAAAACATTTGAGTGCTAATGTGGCTGTCCTCTCCTCTAGCTGGTAAGGAACCTGTTAATGGAGTCGTGCTGTGGCATGAGAATCATCAATCCATTCTTCACCATATCAAACACAAAGCAGATGAGGGCAAACTCATCATAGAGAAAGAGGGATATTATTCTGTCTACTCGAAGATCAACTTCAAGGAGGACAACATCATATTCAGCCACTCTGTACTCTGGGTTACACATCGATATGCAGGAAACGAGATTCTGCTTCTCCAGTCCTCTAGGTTACATCCTAAACTCCTGAGGTCGAGAGCCACAGACAACAGCTACCTAAGCGGTGTGTTTCATCTGTACAAAGGTGATGCTGTCTTTGTCAGAGTAAAAAATTGTACACTTGTGTTGTCGAATGCTGCTGAGAACTACTTTGGTGTGTTTATGGTTTAGACGGATTCTGGAGTCAGACTGTTACACTCTAAAAAATGCTGGGTTGTTTCAACCCAACTTTGGGTCAAATATGGACTAACCCAGCTGTTGGGTTAAATTTTTTTATTAAATTTTTAACCCAAAAGTTGGGTTAGTCCATATTTGACCCAAAGTTGGGTTGAAACAACCCAGCATTTTTTAGAGTGTACCATACGACTAATGTGCGAGTTGAATAAGTTCACAGCTAGATTTGATGGAAAAATACATATGTATACATACATGCATACATACCTTGTAATGTTCCTGCCTGTGTGTAGCACCTGCCGCTCTGTTGATCTACACTGTAAAAATATATATATTTTTTGAAGTGGTAAATCAACAAAAGATTATCACAATACGTTTTACAAGAAAATACCATTTCAGAATTTCATGTTTAATTCAACGCGTTACTTGTTGTTTCTTTGTGAGTTAATTGTGAAAACTGTGAAAACTATATATATTTATATAATATATATAAATGACTTCTGTATGTTGCTTTGCACGTCTTAAATATGATTTACTTTTTAATACTGTTCTTATATTGAATTAAATTATATATAATTTTTTTAAGATATTTCTCACATAAAGTGGGGACCAAAAGTCTGAGCCCACATTGAAAATTTGGATTTTTTTTTTTTCCCATTTAATTTTGCAATTAAATGGAAGCACCGGCAGCTTTTGGAGTGTGTGATTTTGTAAATATCATAGTAAACCCTTGTTCAGTTTGTTTGAACGTCCTGATACGACAACACTGACTCCCACTGAAATATGTAATTGCAAAATAAAAGCATTTTCTCTCTTTTTTTTTTTTTGAGACTTTTGGACCTCTCTCTCTCTCTCTCTCTCTCTCTCTCACACACACATTAGGTATAAGAGTGTTCATGTATCTAGATCTGCACATTTTGAACACATTTCCTACTCAAAATAAAGTTATGACAAACCTCAGTCTGCTCATCATTATATGTTGTTACATAATGTGCTTTGCGGAGATTAGTCACTTGCAAGAGGATCCACAACGCTGTGGTTTGACCTTTTCCTGCTCATCCACTACAGTGACACTTAAATCTTGCTTTACGAGCAAATGTTTCTAATTCATAATGCAAATGTTTTTTTCTGACTCATCTTATCCTTTGATCTCCTCTGTGCGGAGAGACTTGAGTCATTTGTCTTTTGAGATGCTACCTGTTCACATCTGTCAGATGACATCGGCGTTCCACTGCAACAAACATTTCAAGAACTTCATTGAAATGAGTTTGGAGAAATGCTCTTTTGTGCACACGACAGCGTTTATCGTTTGAATCAGGGCCTGTTTTATTTCATCTTATTCGAAGAAGCTTTTTTTTGTGCACACCCACGCTGCTGTGTATTCTTAGCAGAGCTAGTAAACTGCAGAGGAAATGGGGGTGGGGGACGCTACCCGCATACACAGGTACGAGTGTGGCTGTTTCGCTGACTCAGATCTGTCTGTCTGAAGACTGAAGCTTCTCTAACGAGCTTGGTGGAAGATTCCAACCAATACAGCAGCAGTACATGGGCCATATCACACTTTAGACAAAGTGAATTGGTGGGCCCATCATTCATGACATTATCGCTTTCAGAAAAGAGTTTGGTGGTTTTGCCTTGTCAATGCATGAGAGGATGTTTGATGTTGTGATGTCAGGCATGGCTTTGAGTGGACTAATTCTGAATGGGAAGGTCTTTGTGTGTGTGTACTTGTTCATCCACAGACTTTTCCTGTGCTGATGTGTGCATGTGTTGTGCATATAGTTCCTTTGTGGGTGTATCCAGTGTTTCTGCTCATTAGCATATTTAGCCTTTCTTCTGTTTTGGTAGGGTGAAACCGAAAGTTACTTGACTGGATTTTCCAGCTCTTTCAATTTCCACTATATAGTATCTGTAAAGTGTGTGATTTTGCTTTAAAGAGACCAAGGCTTAAGTTCAGAAGTGTTGCTAATTTCGAAGCTAGTGTTAATGAAAAGGCTTAAAAAAAAAAAATTATATATATATATATATATTTATATATATACAC